GTGCTTCAAGTTTGCAATTTGACTTGTGCTTGAAGTTGTTTAATGGATTCAGCGGTGCACTAAATGATTGTCAATTTTGTTATCCCCAGAATACATCTCGTGCTCTCCACTGGATGCTGACTGTTGTTTCCGTATGAGAAATGCGAACATATTAGCACTTTGGATGTCGTGCATTTGTGATTGAACTGTTGGTTCCATATGGCAAATGAGAACATATTCGCATTTCGGCTCCATGTACTTTGTGATGTTTGGAAAGCCTCCGTGTACTTTTCAATATGGGATTGTATGATATTTTGCGTTCAATTTGAAAAATCTTTGTGCTTTGCAATTTGCACTTGAATGAATTTTCTACATAGAATGGTTTCTGAAAACTGATCTTCTGCTTTGAGACTTCACCTTTGGAAAAAACAGTGCGCAACTTGTGATGTCTCTGTGTGCTTTGCAATTTGACTTGAGATGTTTTCATCTCGATGTTTGCGATGACAAGAGATACTTGTATGAATGAATATGAATCTTCTACACAGAAAGCTTTGATTGCGTTTTCAACCTTTGATATAAAAATGACAAGCCAATGTCCATATTAAATCGTTGCGCTGATGGACTGCGCAACTGCTTCTCCATCAAAGTGCGAGTTCAATCGCACTTCTCGTGTGAGCCCTGAGCAATTCCCTCGCACTTTGCTTCACGTCGAGGAGGGGATCGAACGCACCGCCGGTAAGCACCTGCACATCACGAAACAAGAGCACGTCCCAGTTGAAACATCGTCGGGTCCTCACCTCATCGACTCTCAAGATGACTACAGCCAACAGCGGTAGGATGGCAGGTCCGCCTATCCGATGTGGATCTCACGGTGGAGTGCGAAACTCTGCTCTCAAAGATCCACACCGGGTAGAAGGTCCTGCAAGCAGCCGCTGCTTGCTTGTAAGGCATCTTATGATCTGTCGATATAACCGACATCCAGAACTGCTTGGTGAGCATCTAATGCTACGCCAATAAGTTCCAAACACAACAGTAAAGTCCCCTAAGAGTGTTCTTTGCCGGGTCCTCACCACATCGACTCTCAAGATGACTAGAGCCAACAGCGGTAGGATGGCAGGTCCGCCTACCCGATGTGAATCTCACAGGGGAGTGCGAAACTCTGGTCTCAAAGATCCGCACCGGGTAGAAGGTCCTGCAAGCAGCCGGTGCTTGCTTGTAAGGCATCTTATAATGTGTCGATATGACAGACATCCAAAACTGCTTAGTGAGCATCTAGTGCTACACCAATATATTCCAAATACGGCACCAAAGTCCCCTTACAGTGTTCTTTGTCGGGTCCTCACCTCGTCGACTCCCTCAAGATGACTACAGCTGACAGTGGTAGGATGGCAGGTCCACCTATCCGATGTGGATCTCATTGTGGAGTGCGAAACTCTGCTCTCAAAGATCCACACCGGGTAGAAGGTCCTGCAAGCAGTCGATGCTTGTTTGTTAGGTATCTTATGATTTGTCGATATAACCGACATCCAGAACTGCTTGGTGAGCATTTAGTGTTACGCCAATAAGTTCCAAAAACACGGCAGCAAAGTCCACTAAAAGTTTTCTTTGCCGGGTCCTCACCTCATCGACTACCTCAAGATGACTACAGCTAACAGCGGTTGGATAGCAGGTTCACCTATCCGACGTGGATCTCACGGTGGAGTGCGAAACTCGGCTCTCAAAGATCCATATCGGGTAGAAGGTCCTGCAAGCAGCCGCTACTTGCTTGTAAGCCATCTTATGATGTGTCGATATAACCAACATCCAGAACTGCTTGGTGACCATTTAGTGTTATGCCAATATGTTCTGAACACGACCGCAAGGTCCCCTAAGAATGCTTTTGGCACTGGAGTCCTCTGACCGCCGACTGTTTGGCACTTAGTGAAGGTTGACACTTATTGAAGGTGGTCTACCACTTCTTAAAGGTGGTCAGTCACCAAACAGATCACGACCTAACATTGACCTCGATAACTGCGAATTGACTCGTTGTTCAACTAGAGTCTCTCTCTCTCTCTCTCTCTCTCTCTCTCTCT